TCCAGATCTGGAACTTCACCCGGTTGACTTTTCCCCCGAAAACCCTAATTATTTTGCAAACTTTGGCATGTCGTAACTCTGCATCTGTAGCTCCGATTTGCGCGTGTAGCATATCAAAATGTTCGTCTCAGAGAGTACATCATTTCTTCTCATTGCATTATTTTCATTTGAGCTCATCTTGATGCCCGAAATGCTATTGGAAGAGGGCTATGTGATAAAATTGCCAGATCTGTTTCATCAAATAGATATTTGCCATTTTTGCCATGATTAATGTGTGCATGATATGCTCCTGAGCTCTACATGAGCTTTGTTATATGACATGACATCTTTATAGAGGTGCTTACCATGTATTTTTGTGATATGTGTGGTGACTAGCACAAGCTTGCAAAGTAGCGTACTCGGTAATGCTGTTTTCAAGGACTTAGAATTTCACTAAGTCCTTGTTCTGATTTTGTCATTATGCCATATGTTCATGTTGTTTCCTACTGATCCGTGCCTTTTTTGAGGATGATCAGTAAGGATGATTTGTTAACATTGTGGTGCTCTATCCATCCATGTCTTTGTTTGCATTTATGGAGCACCCTAGCTTGAGTCAATCGAGCTCTACTTTTGCTATTTCGCGAATCCTGGCAGATTGTTGACTTGTTAGCGATTTTGCCGAGGATGTTGCTATTGATCCGTGCATGCTATGTTGTTGTTCTTGCCATGTCTAGCTTCCATGACATGTATTCTTGATGGGTGTATGCTTAGTTTGTCATGCCATGATCTGTAGTGAGTGCATCGAGCTCGTGAACATGCCTACTCGCTAACTGATTTGCATGCTCCAGTTTTTTACTAAGTCTGTAATCTGATTATATTTTTGCCATGTTCACATACTTGCAATTGGATTTTCTGATCCCTTTTGGCTCAAGGTCACTAAGGGATTTTTGTTAAGTGCTTTGAGTAGCTTTATGTCATGCCTTACTTTGCCATGTTAAGTTCCTGTAGCATGTAGTTTTCATGCTCTAAAGTGTGTTACCTGATGTTAAAATTCCAGACTTGTGTTAATTTCACTAAGTCTGAAACCTGTTATCATTGCATTTTTGCCATGCTTGTTTGAACCTGTTAATGGATGAATTGGCCGTAGCTCAGTGTTCATCTTTTGTCAAGCATCATGAGTGGATCCCTGCCATGTATTTTGTTGTCATGTTTGAGTGTTGTAGCATATTTATCTTGACACATTTAGATGGCTACTTGCTGATTATCGCAGACCGGTGCCATATTTGTTTTGCTTGCCATTTCCAAAGCCGCGAGAGTGCGCACATTTCGCGACTCTTATTGGGTTTAATGAGCGATCCCTACTTCCTCGATGGGGAGCGGTGTCTATATATATTAGCGATCGGGCAGGAGCCTGCTTTGGCATTGGCATACAAGAAGATACAAGAGTTTGAGAAGAATACGGAGAGGGAAGGTTGGTTGAGATTACCTATTTCCTCTAACAGACCGCTCCAACGACGACCAGTGGTTGCGCATGACGTACAACTACAAGAAGGTCGGGAAGGCCATGGAGCTTCTCCGATGGACCAAGACGTCCAGAATCTGCAGCAAAATAGTTTCCACTAGCGGGTAGTGCACGGCGGCACGCCGCGCTTCGTTGGCTTGTTTGGGGTTTGTTTTTCTGAGTTTTTGAGAATTGTTGTACGTTCTACATATGTGTATCTTTGTAGTGAGCGAGAGGGTAGTTGTGTTGTAATAGTTTCTATATAGAACTTTTACATTGTGATAGCTAAAACAAATGCATAGAAGACACGGTTACAACTGGTGGCCTAGTAGTCTACTTTTTTTATGTAATACCTAAGCTGCGATGTAGAAACACCTGTTAGGTTTGTCTAAAGATGTTTGTTATAGAGCGGAAGCCAGTTCTTCCCTTCAGTTTTCTGAGGCTAGTTTCCAGTGTAGATGGTCGGGGTATTGACGGTTGATGTGCTGCCAGACTCGTAGCGGAGTGATAAGATGTCGGCAAACTGAAAGTAGATTTTTCTTGGGTATTCTTGTCGGACAATGACGTTAATGTTTCAATCTGTATGCTTGTCCACTATTGAAAGGATCGATATGGTTGACTAGAGGGGGGTGAATAGGCAACTACCAATTTTTTAACTTAACTTTATCAAATTAAACTTTGCATCAAAGTAGGTTGTCTAGATGTGCAACTAGGTGAGCAACCTATATGATGCAGTACCAACAAGCAAACAAGCAAGTAAGAGAAGTAACACTAAAGAGCTTGCACAAGTAAAGGTAAGAGATAACCAAGAGTGGATCCCGTGAAGACGAGGATGTGTTACCGAAGTTCCTTCCCTTTAAAGGGAAGTACGTCTCCGTTAGAGCGTTGTGGAAGCACAATGCTCCCCAAGAAGCCACTAGGGCTACCGTATTCTCCTCACGCCCTCACACAATGCGAGATGCCGTGATTCCACTATTGGTGCCCTTGAAGGCGGCGACCGAACCTTTACAAACAAGGTTGGGGCAATCTCCACAACTTAATCGGAGGCTCCCAACAAAACCACGAAGCTTCACCGCAATGGACTATGGCTCCGTGGTGACCTCAACCGTCTAGGGTGCTCAAACACCCAAGAGTAACAAGATCTGCTAGGGATGAGTGGGGGAATCAAAAATCCCTTGGTGGAAGTGTAATCGGGGCCTTCCCAACCACTCCCGAGCAAATCAACAAGTTTGATTGGTTAGAGAGATAGATCGGGCGAAAATGGAGCTTGGAGCATTTAATGGAGCTTGAGCAATAAATGGAGCTTGAGGGGGAAGAGGTAGGTCAAAGGGAAGAAGGGGACCCCCTTTTATAGTGGGGGCAACAATCCAACCGTTGCCCCCCACCAACCATCCCCGCACAGGGCGGTACTACCGCTAAGAGGGGGCGGTACTACCGCTAAGTCAGCGATACTGCCGCACCAGCCAGCGGCACTGCCGCGCAGAGAAGACTAGGAGGGAATAGGACCCAATGCGGTACTACCGTGGTGGTAGGGGCGGTACTACTGCTCCTGAAACGGTACTACCGCCTCTACAATCGCAACTAGTGCCGCAAAACCCGACACGAGAAAAAGAGCCCTCGAGTCGAGGCGGTAGGAGCCAGACAGCCCAGCGGTACTACGGCAGCGGGGCCACGGGCGGTACTACCGCTATGGAGCGGAACTACCGCTTGTGACCCTTCGGCCGTACTACCGCTGGTAGTGCGGTACTACCGCTGGGACACAGAAAAGAGAGAGAGAGGATCTCTCCAAAGAGGCTGAGGACGAGGTGGTGGTGCCAGGCACCCCAGCGGTACTACTGATGTGGAGTCACGGGCGGTACTACCGCTGTGGAGCGGTACTGCCGCTTGTGGCTCCTCAGCGGTACTACGACTGGGTTGCGCGGTACTACCGCTGGATGCCTCTTGTGCGGCGGTCCAGGGTCCGTGCGCGGGCGCGGATGCCGCTCGAGCCAGGACGCGTCCCGAGCGACATGGCCAGGCTGCACCTTGTCGGTCTCCTGTTCGTCCTCGCCGTGCACTGGCTGCTGGCCACCTACGACGGCACGTCAACCAAGCCGCCACCGCATGTGGCGTACACCCAGCAAGCACAATGCCAGGGAGAATCCTATACCCATAGCCGGCCCTCGTACAACATGGCGGCCATGGCGGAGCAGTACATGGGTCTGGTAAGGGAATGGTTCCTGCTGCCGCAGGTCATGGGCAACGCCGTGTGGCGCGTCAACTGCCGGCCTCTGAGGAAGAGCTACTACGCCGGAATCACCGGCATGTCGCTGCTGCCGCACGTCTATGGGTTCCTGCGGCCGCCTTCCGCGGTTGACATGTACCCTGTCCCTTACGAGGTCCAAGACGGGGTCACCATGGACTTGTACCCCAAGGCTGGTGGCGTGGTGGTGCCGCTCGTCGCGCTGGTGCTCGCGCTCTTGGTCTACGTGCAGCAGCGCTGGAACCACTACAGGATCCTAGGGTGGGCCGTTGTAGACAAGGAGAAGAATAATTAAGCTGCAGCACGTGTACTGAAGGGCTAGCTGCTTGGAACAAGACCAAGAGACAGATAGAAAACGGAAGGAAACGTCAACGCAAATTGTGCTTTCTCAGATTGAGTTTTACTAGTTCAATAAAATTTGTAAATTTGTGTGGTTTGTTTGGAACACACATAAAGTAGTAGATAATAATTCTATGGGAGTTCTATGATTATATCATTATGCAGTCACTAGAAATAATCAAGGGTCGTTACCTAGTGAGCAAAATACGAATGCCGGATAATAATAATAATTCGAATCATACACGGCCAGTTTCCACTTTCCGCCCTTATTACTGTCTGCTGGTGCCCAGTTACAGACACATAGATAACCATTCTAAGTAGAGCTCTGCAAAAATCATGGTAATGAAGCTATAGCTCCTTTCTGAATATAATAATCGTTACGCTGCACCCATCGAGAAGATCAGGAGAAGGACTATCCTTTCCTTACTCATCTTGTGGTGGGTGACAAATAAGAATAAGACGGGCAAAGTACGTACCGGCCATCTGTGATGCGGATTTTGCGTCTCTGTTCGTGAGCGCCACCAGGAGGCAACACGTTGCCAAGGACATTGATTAATCAAATGGCATCTGAACAAAATGTGAAAGTGTGAAACTATTAGTTGTTTGTTGCTGCTTGGATGAGCTATGATGTGAAACAGGTCTATACTTTGCATAACCTCGGTTCTCTATCTCCTTCTCCTGGCTTGCTCTTGCGACTTTTGGGAGGCACCTAACCATGACATAGACAGACACCACTGCCTTGGTACGTGCAGGAAGCCGATTATGTACAAGGTTACATAACCTCAAGGAATCAGCTATAGAATAATCTGGAGGTTACATGACCTGAAAAAAGGGTGAAACAAAATTAGAGGAAAAAAACTGTGCGTACAAAGAAATGAGCAAGATCATTGGCCTAATAGACAAGATTAGATCGTTTCACCTGAAGAAAATTTTCTTTGCTCAGAGAGTGTTGGTAAAAACAGATCTCTGGTGGATACAAACAACACGGAAGAGCTTCGCTCCTAGCAGATTTGAATTGAAACACATTCAGTTTGTGGTTTTCTTAACATACTACTCCCTCCGTTCCAAAATAGATGACCCAACTTTATACTAACTTTAGTATAAAGTTGGGTCATCTATTTTAGAACGGAGGGAGTACATACTAGCACTGGAACACATAACTAAAACAAACAACAGAGCTCTAGTATCTACTGAAATCCATTTTTCCTCTCAGAGAAGATTGTGAACAGACACACCTTCGAGGACAGCCTTTAGCTTGTCAAACACCCATGCATACTTGAATGACCTGTTGTTCATCTCAGCAGCTTCCTTCTTGGACCTCTCGATCACACGCTTGTCAATACCTCCAAGCTTGTAGATCAGATGCCCAGTGATGGTTGACATGGCCAGTGACCACGATGTTCATGTGAGTCTTGTCCTTACCAATTGCTGAAACTGCAAGATCAAAGTAGTTGTCGAGCGATGGGTTAAATCAGATACTGAGACACACAAGCCAATCAAACTGCAGGCACTAGTTAGATACACATAACAGAGAATGCAGGCACAAATGCTTTTGTTATGGCTGGTTTAGCTAGGCCCACCGGGCAATCTTAGCCCACAAGTTATCTTAGGTTAATTCTTCTGCAAGTTATCTAGGTTATAAATATAGGCTGTAAGACTCTTTTTGAAATTAAGCAATAAGAAGACTATTATCTCTATTGCCCGGCTCCCAGAGGAGCCGGAACCCTAGCCGCCTTTAACCCTAGCCGCCGCCGCCATCTCCCTCCTCTTCCGCGACGGCGCTCAACCGCCGGCGCGGCCGCTCATCGCCTCGCCCAGCTCCCTCCTTCCCCTACTGCTTACGCCCCAGGCCTGGTAGGGTACAAGTTCCTACCAATTTGGTAATCAGAGACCAAGTTCTGATCATGTCCCTGCCAACACCACCGCCGGCGCTTTCCAGCGGATCCACCGCGCCGATGACGACGGCGCCATCCCTCACCGCGCCGATGCTGCCGGCGCCGTCCCTCACCGCGCTGACGACGTCCGCCGCCGGATCAACCACGCTGGCGGGCCCCGTCTCCACCGCGACCCCGGCCGCGCCGTCCTCCACAATTCCTCCTGCGCCGCCGCCGTCCGCCGTCTTCACACCGGAGCAGGTCATGGCCACCCTGCGGGACCTCGTCACCGCCGTCCAGAGCCTCTACTTGCAACAGCAGCAGTACACGACCGGGCCCTACATGCCCTTGCCGACGGCGCCCCCTGCCGCCTACGGCCACACGCCGTGGCCGCTCCAGGGCGTCTCTCCGTACGGCGCGCCCCTCTGGCCCTTGGCGCCGACGCCGTCCTCGGGCCCCTGGCCGCTACAGCAGATGCCGCAAGCGGCGGCCACCGGACCGTTGTAGCCGTTCTCCGCGCCGACCTACACTGGGCAGCCCCTGCTGCCGTTTCCAGCGGGACACCCCGGCGGGACTACGCCGGCCGCGGCCCCTCTGTGGTACTTGCAGCCACCCCCTCCCGCGGCCACCGACGCCCCCGTGCACCCCCCGCCACCGACGCTCCAACCACCGGCACCGACCCTGCCTAGCTCAGGGGCACCCTCACCGACCGGCCTCCCGATTCATCAGTTTCGGTTCCCGCCCTCCCCGTCGCCACTTCCAGCATGGGCGGCTGGGTTCGCCGGTCTACACCACGGCTCCGGAGCAACCGACCCCATTTCCGCAGTTCGGCGGGCCATCCAGCTCCGCGGGTCCCTAACCGGAGTACTCCGACCAGGCGCCACCCGCCTCGCTGCTTCGCACCTCTGAGCTAGCTCGACACGGCGCTCCGACCCAGACACCGCCACGGTTTGCCAAGATCAACTTCGCCACCTATGACGGCACGGAGGACCCCCTCAACTGGCTCAACCAATGCGACCAGTTCTTTCGCGGGCAGCGCACTCTCGCATCGAAGCGTACCTGGCTTGCCTCGTATCACCTCCGCGGCGCGGCACAGACCTGGTATTACGCCCTCGAGCAGGACGAGGGCGCCATGCCCCCTTGGGAGCACTTCCGCGAGCTCTGCCTCCTTCGCTTTGGGCCTCCGGTTCGCGGGAGCCGCCTAGCGGAGCTCGGCCGCCTTCCCTTCACCTCCACGGTGCAGAACTACGCCGCCCGTTTCCAGGCCCTGGCATGCCATGCGTCGGGTGTGACGGCGTAGCAGCGGGCCGACCTCTTTGTCGGTGGACTTCCGGATCACATCCGCGTGGACGTGGAGCTTCGGGGACCCCAGGATCTCCAGTCGGCCATGTACTACGCCCGTGCTTTCGAGCGTCGCGCGGTGGCCATCCAGCAGGAATCACCATCCCGGACCGCTGGGTCGCTACCCGGGCCGGATTCCGCACAGGGTCGGCCTGCACAGGCTACTGCGGCACCCCTCGCCGTGACCGCGGCGCGCCCGTTCCGCCGGCTCACCTCAGCCGAGCTACTCGAGCGTCGCCGCCAAGGGGTGTGCTTCAACTGCGACGAGCCCTGCACGCCCGGCCATGCTTGCCCGCGACTCTTCTACCTGGAGGTTGCAGACTACATTCCGGAGGACGCCGTCGCCGCCGACCTGGCCGCCCCAGCTGTCGAGAAGGTGTTTGACGCTGGTTGATCACCTAAAGGAGTTCCGCAAGCGCTTCCCCACCTTACAGCTCGAGGACGAGTTGTTTGTGCAGGCGGGGAGAAGTGTTATGGCCGGTTTAGCTAGGCCCACCGAGCAATCTTAGCCCACAAGTTATCTTAGGTTAATTCTTCTGCAAGTTATCTAGGTTATAAATATAGGCTGTAAGACTCTTTTTGGAATTAAGCAATAAGAAGATTATTATCTCTATTGCCCGGCTCCCAGAGGAGCCGGAACCCTAGCCGCCTTTAACCCTAGCCGCCGCCGCCATCTCCCTCCTCTTCCGCGACGGCGCTCAACCGCCGGCGCGGCCGCTCATCGCCTCGCCCAGCTCCCTCCTTCCCCTACTGCTTACGCCCCAGGCCTGGTAGGGTACAAGTTCCTACCAGCTTTTAATTCTACTCAGGACTCACAGATCCTAGAACCAAACAGAAGTAAAACATAAGTCTTTTTTTAATAAAGAGGGCAAGTAAAACATAAATCTGACTAACAATAAATCCAAAAGCTTGCGGATGAGCATGAGCACCGAAACCAACCAGAGATATCATACATGGGCATGAGCAACTCCTTTAAGTTACGGCCAAAAACAACTTGCATCAGCGCATAAGAGAATCTGAAAGTTTCAGATTTGCAGCTACTAGAAGCAAGCATCACCGCTCCGGTTATGGCTAGGGTCTATACAAATGTAAAATGAAGAGACGAAGTTTAATCTATATGGATGTAAATGAAGAGATGAGGTTTTGTTTATAGAACCCTGATTCCCCACAATTTGTTTTCTCGCCAACTTAATAAATTTTCTTTGCTCAGACAGGGTTGCTAATAACAGATCTCCGGTGGACACAAACAACACAGAAAAGCTTCCGTTCATAGCATTGAATTAAAACACATTCAGTATGAGGTTTTCTTAGCATACTAGCACTGGAAACTCACAACTAAAACAAACAACATATTTTTAGTATCCCCTGAAATGCATTTGCCAAGTAGTTGTTCCTGTTTTCTGTCTAGTCTTTTGTTTTCTTCTTTTGGTTGGGGCATCCCCTGTTATGGGAAATAAACATGTTGATTCTAGGTTAGATCACCCGTGGTGGAACTAATTGCTATCTTTTCTTTACCTCAAAACATACCTCTTTATTCATTCATAAACAGGGTTACATCATTAATAAGAGGTACAATATAGGGGGGGGGGGGGTCATCTAACCATGTACGAGAATCATGAATTTCTGGCAAGAACGACAATTTGTGAGCTACAGTATTTGGTTCTCTGTTTTCATGGACAAATTCCACCTTGGCAAATTCTCTTGAGACGAAGTAACAATCTCTGAAGATTGCCGCTGCAACCCCTGCTGAATGGACCTCATCTTGCATCGTCGTAATGACATTCATGCTATCTGACGGTGATCCTGGTGCAGCCCAGGGGTTCAGCAAAACAGCAATCCTTCTTGTAATTGCTATAATGCTTCCGTCGACAAACCATCAAGCACCGAGTCTACTTTGAAATTTTTTGCTGCCATGAACCTTCCTTTGTTATCTCGGATCACTACCCTAGTAGTGCCAGTAAAACGATCTTCATCGAAGGAGGCGTCCACATTGATTTTGACAACATATACCCATTGTGCTAAGGTCATCTTTTACCTGTGTATCCACTTCTTGGTTAAGCAACGGCTAGGTTAGATCACCCGTAAGAAAAATGTAACGACATGTATAGTGTGTATCACTGTTTGCTTAACCGATAGCTTTTGGTATTAACGCTTCTGGAGCTTCTGAGGGCATTTCTTGGCTTTGTGGCCTTCTTCATTGCATAAGGAGCATATAAACACTCGTGTTGGACAGCTCCTGGCCCGGTGGCCTTCTTCATTGCATAAGGAGCATATAAACACTCGTGTTGGACAGCTCCTGGCCCTGTGCCCTTCCTGACCACAGCTAACACATCGAAGAACCGATGCCGATTTCATTTTTGATGATTGTTTAGCACTAGCAGTACCAGGGTCCCGTTCTTCTAATTCTTTGGACAGGTTGGAGGATTTAGCTATGGTGCTGCTCTCTTCAAATTCTTTGGATAGGTCGGGCAATATTGATCTTCTTTTCTGAGGACAGTAAAAGGCAACATGACCTTCTTCACGGCATGTAAAGCATATCCTTGGCCTTAAGTTGTATGCCCTGGCTATTGGACTGACTTGATGGCAGGTCCGTTTAGATAATGTGTTGACTTGTTTTGATAGTGCAAGCCACAGAGCAGCTTGGAAGTTCTCTCTTTGATCCTGAAACGCTGCATTCAATACCCAATTCAAGGGGCACTGAGCAGGATAATGATCCTGACTTTCACAAATAAAGCATTTAACTTTGCTCAATCGACACTCTCCATGCGGATGATATTCGTCACAGCTTGAGCAACTGAGGAGACCATGTGTACTAGTACTATGCCCTATCTCTCCACAGCGGGTGCAAGCGCGATTCTCCGACTTGTTCTGCTGGCAACACGATATGCTCCAGTGGCCATTTTTGCTACAGAGTGTGCAAATGACTTTGTGCTCCTGATCCTTGAAAGGGTAGTCACAACTGTAATGTCCTTCCTTGCCACAAACCAAACAAGTGATTATCCCATTCATTTTGTCCTGATGCTCTGTTCTACCGCCTTCCCATGGACTTTCACGTTGGTTGCAAAAGCGGAAATCTTTATGGCTCCCTAGCGAGGTAGTGAGCGAACCATCATTCCATGGATTTTCATGTTGATTACTGCAAAAGCGGCGGCTGAGGTCTGTGGTAGTCTCCCACTTCCTTTTTGACCCGATTTCCTGAGTCTTGAGAGATAACCCATTGGTTTCCATTTGAATTGTTTCTGACCAGCTGGGATAACAGATCGGAGGGGAAAACATGAGACAAGGCAGAATCTAGTTTGAGGAGTAGGATAAAAATGATATTGTAGAAGTCAGTGTGTATATGCAACAGAATATAGCCCAAACAGCTAAACAGCATCCACTGATGTACATGCATACAAGGCCTCAACTATACAGGTGCAAACAATGCCTCAACTATATTATTTCTGTTTGAGCAGAGGTGTCGATATGCTCCTACTGCCGATGTGAAAATCTAACATGTGAAGAGAGGAGCTAATCAGGTCGCAGACATACTGCTAAGAGAGAGAGAGAGATTGCAGCAAACATAAGAGAGGGGCTAATTCTGTGATGTACAAAGGTCTGTCCGTTGAGAAGAAATAAAAGAATATTAACAGGGCAATTGCTTCAAGCTGCAGCAAACTTTGCTTCTTTTGTGCTGGCAGCGGCTACTGCAAACTGCTTATCAATGAGCAGTGCAAAGTACTTATTTGATATGGTATGCATAAGAGGAAAAACCAATATCGACATACTGCCCAGAGAGAGAGAGAGATTATAACTTTGTGATGTACAAAGCTGAAAGATCCCTTCTTTGAAAAGAAAGAAAATACGTACTAAAGAGGGCAATGGTTGAGCTGCAGCCAATTGCTTAATGAGCGGTGTGATATATTACCTCCGTCCCGAATTAATTGTCTTAGATTTGTGATTTGTCTAGATACGGACGGTAATTCGGGACATAGGGAGTATTTGATATGATATGCATATAAGAAGAAGAAAAAAGTAACTGATGAACACATGGTAGGTAGGATTGAAGGCTCGCCTAATCACGACGCAGAAGAAAGAGGGTTCAGTACTTCAGTGGGATTGCTCTGCTATGTAGGCTCAGAATTCACTATCTGTTTCCACCCCACGCACGCACCGAATCAGCTACCAATTCCGAGGATCTAAACGGAAGATGGGTGAGATCCACGGTGAGATACCTGAGGGGCGTGAGCAGCGATGAGCAGGACAAGGGGACCCGGCGGCGGCGGCGGCGGCGGCGGCGGCGACGACGATGGTGATACAGCAGCAAGCTCGGGCGGCGCGGTCAACAACCGGAGTTCTGGTTCGGTTCTGAACTTTTGTTGGGAAAGGGGAAAATAGAAGCAGCAACGAGTAGGGATGAGGAACAAGAACACTGTTTTTTTTTTTTTTTTGAGCGGTACAAGAACACTGCTATACACACGACAGGCCAATGCAAAGTAGAGTAGAGACTAGAGTGGGCTTCAACCTTCCTTCCCTTTTTTTTTAGGTTCCTTCCCTTTTCTTATTACTACCAAAAACGGCTCGTGCATTGCAACAAAAGAAAGAAAATTATAATCTTCAATGGCCATGACCACATTTAGCTACATCACCGAGATACACAATCACTTTTTTTTAAATCGTGAACATTTTTACAGGTTTTCAAACATCTTCTAAAATCATGAATATTTTTAGAATTCATGGACTTTTATACTATTTGCAAACTTTTTTATTGTAAACATTTTTTAAAATATTTTTCTTGAATAGGCGAACATTTCTAGAACATACAACTTTTTTTGGAAATTTTTTGGTGGAACAATTTTCTAAAATTCATGAATATTTTTTTCATTCAAAGAAAAAATTAAATGAATGATGATTTTTTGAATTTCATGAACATTTTTTGAATTGGTGATATTTTTTTCAATTTAATTAACATTTTTAATACACAAACTTTTTTAAAATACCATGACATTTTTTGATTTCCTGAATATTTTTTGATATGCAAACATTTTTTAAAAACCATGAACATTTCTGGATCCATAAACATTTATGAAATATTAAACATTTCATTTCAAAATTCACATGTTTATAATTTTTTAATCTTTTTTAATTCCCAAATTATTGAAAGTAGAAGAAAAACGAAAACGAAAAATAAAAACGAAATTTTAAAAATAGGCTGTCCGGATTTTATTTTATTTTTGAAAAGGAGGTTATCTCCCGGCCTCTGCATCCGATAGATGCATGCGGCCATATTATTTTACAAGTTCAGCAAAACACAAAGTCTGAAATCCGGAGTACATCTCACAAAGGGAGCACAAATGAAAAAAGGCTAAGAAAATAAATCATAGCCACAACCAGCTGGATGGGAGGACATTAAGGATCTATCCTATTATGTGACTGTCATCCAAATCGGTTGAAAATAACCCGTGCTACCATCTCCCATCGATTGCACCCAGTAGCCCTAGAGCCCATAGGAGAGTGTAGCAACCACGTACAGACCCATGTCGTAGCTCTGATAATAATCTGCAAGAAGTTTAAAATATGTAATCTATTAAAAATCATATTATTCCTGCACTTCCATATAGCCTAGAGAAATGCGCATGTCCAATCTGAATACTTGACGCAACCTCTGGGTGTAACTCATTTAACCACGTCCCAAACAACACATCTATGCTATCCGGCGGCATGATGTTAAATGCTATATGTACAGATCGCCAAAGTAATTTCGCTAGAGGACAATCAATAAATAAATGTTGGATTGTTTCGTCTTGAACACAAAAACAACATCGTGGACTTCCGACCCATCGTCACTTTAGTAAGTTATCTTTGATAAAAAAAACACATGTTTGTGGACAAACCACATGAAAATTTTAATGCGCAAGGGGACCTTTACTTTCCAAATGTCTATCGATCTTGGGATTGGGCCAGAATTAATAAGGTCTGAGTACATAGATTTAACTAAAAACACTTTGTTCGTTGTCAGTTCCCACTTCATGGCGTCTGCTTGGTCGAAGAGGTGAACGTCCATCAACCTCCGTACCAGGTGAAACCATGAGTCCCATCGTTCCCCTACTAAAGCCCTCCGAAAGTGGATATTCAAAGGTACCGTCTGCAATACTGTTGCTATATAATCCTCCTTAAGTTGCACAATATTATACAGGGTAGGATACTGCAGGGCTAATGGCGTCTCGCCTAACCAAGTATCCCCCCAAAACCTTGTTATCGTTTCGTCCCCGACAACGAAACTCACCCTATGGAAGAAAGTCTCTTTCGTTCTTATGAGCCCCTTCCAAAATGGTGAATCATTAGGTCTTACAGTAACCTGAGCCAGAGTTTTAGAGTGTAGGTATTTATTTCATAGAATTGATTCCAAAGATAACCTATATAGCCATTTGCTTAACACGCACTTGTTTTTAATCTCGAGGTTCTCAATCCCAAGACCCCCCTGGTCTTTGGGTCGACAAATTATATCCCATCTTGCCAAGCGGTATTTTGTCTTAACCTCGTCTGTCTGCTAGAAAAATTGAGATCGATAGAAGTCTAGTCTCTTTCATACCCCTTTAGGTATTTTAAAGAAAGATAGTAGGAACATCGGCATACTAGTCAGTACTGAATTAATCAGCACTAGCCTTCTCCCATATGACATAAGTTTACCCTTCCAGCAGCTTAGATTTTCTTCAAATCAATCTTCAATACATTTCCACTCTTTATTAGTTAATTTTCGGTGGTGTGTTGGAATGCCTAGATAGCTGAAGGGCAGAGATCCCAGTTCACAACCGAACAATTGTCTGTAGTTATTTTGTTCTTCCTTGGCTCGCCCAAAGCAGAACAATTCACTCATATGGAAGTTAATTTTCAGCCCGAACAATTGTTCAAAAAGGCATAACATTGATTTCATATTCCTCGCTTTTGCAAGGTCATGCTCCATGAATTGGATAGTGTCGTCAGCATATTGTAGGATAGAAACGCCATCATCCACCAAATGGGGAACAAGACCACCTACCAGGCCTTTTTCCTTGGCCCGACCGATGAGCACTGTCAACATGTCTACCACAATGTTGAACAGAATAGGAGACATCGGGTCACCTTGTCGTAGGCCTTTATGCGTCTGGAAATAATGACCAATGTCATCATTCACCTTAGTACCGACACTATCTTTTTGGACAAAAGAATCCACCTGATCCCTTCATGCCCCCAGTGAAACCCTTCATATGCATGGCCTGCTACAGGAATGACTATTTGACCTTATCATATGCCTTCTCAAAATCCACTTTGAAAATGTATAGAAGGTTCCTATTTTATAGAAGGTTCCTATTGTATGGGCCGGCCCAGGTGGGGATTCCCCTGTGTGATACATGTTTTTTATCACTTATAGATGGCATCGATGGGTAATATTTTACAACTTTATGGACAATTTCAATAATGTACCACCAGAAGTAATATTATATAGAAAGCTAGTATTATTAGGTGTGGACTAAAAGAAAAGTCATCGACCTGATAATTATTACTATTAAGGAGTCAGTAAAATACAAAGACGGTTGGATGTACAACGACTACTAAAGAATATAATTACATTAAAAATCATACTAGCTTTCTACTTTCTTTGATTGTACGCAGCAGTAAAGTGCAAAGAGTATTGAATGTAGAACCAACGCTCAACGAAAGGGTCACCTTCAAACACTCTTTCCGTGCCAGGCTTTAAAGATTGCAATAGTCACTCACTGCTTAAAAAGAGGTCTATAAGTCGTTGAAAAAATATTGGTTGGAACATCACTCGCGTAGCACCTTGCAATGCATCACCACCGTCCTAAGAGTTGGAGAAACTTGACCATCATGCAGAACAGCGTGAAAAAAATGTGTCCAAATCGCCGCACCAATAGTCAGTCAATTCCTCTCGTTCATAGACACATTAACTGCCAAGATCTGAAAAGAGCCCACATATCTAGCGACACAAATTCTCCTTCATCGATGCCAAGTCAGATGTCATGTAGGTAGGGAAATGCTCGAGAGACCTTATTCCAACATGACACTATTAGGAAAAACCTTATACACAGAATCTTAGCAGCAATGCGTTACAAAAACAGGCGCTACTGCTAATTTTCAGTAGCGCGTGTTCGAGACAGGCGCTACTGCTACCAAGTTAGCAGTAGCGCGGCCTAGTGGAAACGCGCTGCTAGTAAAATCAACCAACAGTACCCACTAACCTAAGTTTA